TTCTTATCTAGATAATGAATCAATGATCCAACCATTCAAAAATACCCATGATGTCATAATTGAATAATAAATATTTAAGTTTATTTTCATATTGTTAATTACTTTTGTTAATTTTTAATTTTTAATTTCTATCTTAACTATGATATATTTAAAATTCAAGTAATTAATATGAAAAAAAATTCTCACATGCAACACATGTGCTTAATTAGTAGTGCGTATGTGTATGTATGTGTATACAAACACACATATACACTGACGTGGCTGATCAAACCGGTGACTCACGACCTGAAGAAAAAAATAATTCGGCCACTGGGTCGGTTTTTAAAACATTGGTTTCAAACTTGGTTTATGTTGGCCCTGCCAGATCTACTATACATCCTAAAATTCATAGTCATGATAGAAACCCGCCTGACCTTAAAGAGTTCAACTAAGGTATTACAAAATTTTCCCCGTCAACACTAGGGAATGCACCCTAGTTGAACTCTTTTAAGAATTGATAAATTAGTGAAAATTTTGTAACACTGATGTGCAGCCAAATTTAATTGGCTTATATTTCATTGGTTTACATTTTAAAATGTATATTTTTGTGTTTAACAAGATGCACTTACCATCACATGTAATCAATCACTGTCTTTTGCTACAGCTGCAACATATCCTTCTGATCTATATGAGGGATTCTCTATCATATAGATCATAATACCCATAGCTGAGGTCGCGTCTGTGCACCCATGGGTGGAGAGCAAATGTATTGGGAATATCTCTCGATGATGATATTAGAAATGATGATGTTATCATCAGGATATGTTCACAATATACGGCGGGGATATACTGTGGGACGTTGTGGGGGACAATCTGGTGGGGGCTGATTTGAACTCCCATAGGTGCACTGGACGAGTGAACCCGCGAATCACTTTCGTCCATGTGATTGTTCTAGTGCGAGAGCCAGAGGTGGGCGTCTGGTTGTTACAGAAGAATGCGCCTTCACGATGGAAAATTATTTTTTTAATACTAATGCCTTTTACCTCGAATCCTCTGTGAAGATGATACTCAGGTAAACTTCCGTCGAGACAAACTGAAGCAGAAAAAGGAAGAGAGAGTGAGAGACGGTCAAAAGTTGATGAAACGAAATCTAGATCCACCGGATTAGATTAAAGTTGCAGGAAAAAGAAGGAAATGGGAAAAATAAAAATAAAAACCGGAAGCTTTGAGTAGTTTCCGTTGAAGTCTTGCCTACGCCCTGAGCTTTTGCGTTAGGAACGAAAGTCATGTGCCGGATAAGGCGCTTCTTGTAAACAATCCAGGGCGTACATGTTTACAAGATAATGCATCTGGGAAAGATATCGGTTCTGGTTATTGGAAATACCTTTTCGCGTATAATTTAACTTGTCATTTCATCCATCTTGTTATCTTTTATACCCGCCCATTGACCTCATAGTATTACGCCATATCTCGGTTGTAACCGTTAGTCACATTAAAAAGATTAAATATCCATTAGTTTTTTTTCTAAATTTTTTAAGAATTCCTAGAAAACAAATCTGAGAACTCGTATGGCAAAAGGAGACCAAGAAGTACTAGTTCAATGTTAAGTTTTTGCATAGGTGTGTATTCAGAGTGTGCAACATCACATCCATGTCAATAATGATTGAGTAGCCAAGTGGCAAATTAGAATATTGCAATAGATATATTTATATTGCAACCCGGAACCAATGGCGCGGCTGCACGCGATGAACCCAGATGATCGTCCCCCTCAAGGCCGGACCACATTCTGACCGTCCGAGCCCACCTACTTCAAAGCGGTCCCAAGTATAAATAGGGGGCAACCCTCTCAAGGTAAATATCAGGAACCTAGAGTCATGATTTCTAAGAACTCTCGATTTCCTTCATGGCCTTGTTTGAGTGTCCTCACCTCAAGCCTTGCCCAACTAGTGTTGCACCCAAAATAATTTGACTGTCGGAATCTTCACCTCGGGTTAGCACTCAGGGCCTCTAACTTTCTCTCTCTCCACAGGCCCGACCTACCAGTCCTTGGCCGCAATAGACATCGGACTCCTCAATCAGCCCTCGGCTCAGAAGTAAAATTACAGTATTGCCCTCAGCCCATTCTGACCAGCAACAGTGATGTTTATAAATGTCGTTAAAAAAGTGCAGTTTGGGTGACGTTTATAACGTCGCCAAAAAACATAGTTTTGGTGACAATTATAAACGTCGGAAAAAGGCACAATTTTGGTAACGTTTATAAACGTTGGAAAAACTATGTCCCATTAACATATAAATTGGTTTTAGCGACATTTGGGCAAACGTTGACGAAAATTTGCAGCGCCGTTTGTTGTAATTTTGGTGACGTTTGTCTAACGTCGTCAAAACCCCTCTTTTTAGTGATTGTTTAACCAAAGTCAAGTAATGCAACAATACTTGGTTTTTTCAAAAATTGGACATAAGTGTCTTTCTTTGATCCTCTCCCCTTATCTTTCCCAGCAATACAGTACTCTAAATTCTAAAATGGTCACTATATAAAGGACAACACAAAAAAAGAGGATTTTTTTGAGTTGTAGCGCCTTTTGTTATTTAGGTGGCATTCGGTAGTATGTATATATTGTGGATTGGTCCCGTTCATAATAAGATATGGTGTTTTGCTATATGTGGATCATGATTTTTAAAATTGATCCAGAGACCGAACCGGTCAGGGGTCCAATTATCGGGTTGAATTGTTGGCTCGTTCTGACTAAAAAAATAATAAAATTAAAAAAAATTAAAGAATGGTCAAAACTGTTTGAACAGTTAACCGCCCAAGTCAGCGGTTTGCTGACTAAAATCAACGGTTTTTTAAGAAAATCTAGTTTTGGGGAAAACTGAAACCGGTCACCTGACCAGTTCCCAATTTTTCTGGTCTGACTATCCGATCCGGTCTAGTTTTGAAAACCATGATGTGACACAAAATAGCGTGGACAGAGACGGGCCACACCCCAATTTATCATCCACAGTATTTTCTCGTGGATGGTCCACACTATGGTGTGGACAATTTGTGGGAAGGTTTCAGTATAACGCAACTACGTTACATTGGTCCAATCACTCTCATTTTATTTAATCTTTTAATAAGTTTTAACATTTTATCAATAAAATAATAAATTTTAATGTTAATTCTAGCACAAGTCCGACGGTTCTCCTTCTCAACTCTTTTTTCACTATTTAAATATTATTTTTTAATATCTTATCAATAAAATATTATTTTTTTTAAATATTTAAAATAATATTTTCAAGTAATTAAAAAATGCAATTATTGTTTACATAATGATGCCTTTTTTCAATTTATTTACCATATAAAATGCAAAAATTAGACATTTATGATCGACTGTGTAGATTTCCCATAAAATGTATATGAGATACATGGAATCAAAAAGTAAAGTGTGGATTGGCGGTCCACACAATCCATCCACAATTTAGAACAGCTCTGGACTGTGAGTGTGGATTGGTCCCTACCATAGGGTGTGATGTAGACCAATCTACCCACCAATTTTTCATCCACACTCCATAACACCCCCTTAGTTGCAACACAGAAGTATGCATTTGTTTAATACAAATGAGGTATGTACAAGTGGGAGTTTTGGAAAATAAAATAAAATAAACAAACAAAAATACAAAAAATTGTGATGTGAGATATAACATAATTTTCACTTGATTGAAAGTAGGGAGACAATCAATTCAGGTTGGAGTATGAATCTATAGTGTTCCTTTAGCTCCCAAGTTTCACCTTTTTGTTATTATGGAATGATGGTAGGGATGTTCACAGGTTGAATTGGGTCGGTTTGAGTTATTTTTTTCAACCGACCCGACCTAGTCGGTTTACTCATTGACTAAACCAAAACCGATTGACCCTGTAGCAAAACCGACCCAAACATGAAGGGTCGGTTTGGGTTGGTTTATCGGTTTAGTCAATTTAATTGATTTTTATATATTTTAAGCAAAACCGAGTTGTCGGTTTATTTTTTCATACAAACCAAAACCGGCCAGTAATTTTGAAAAATCGACCAACTCAGGTTGGGTTGGGCCGGTTTGGTCAATTTGACATTTAATGTAAACAACCCTAAATGATGGTAGCTGATTAGCCATCTTTGAGCTTGCGAGGTAGTTGCAAATATAACTACGAAAATACCAAGTATTCAAGGAAATTCAAGTAGAGCCGCTTGTTTGGGCATTTCCGTCAATGCACTGTAAAAAAAATGAAGAAACACAAGACACACTTCGGTAAACAATAGCTTGGTGGGTTTATTGGTGAACAATAGCTTGGTGGGTTTATTGGTGAGTAGTGGGTAATGGTGGCGATGGGAGTGCGGGACTCGAAGGTTCAACTCCACTATACTAAGGTTTTAAAAACCGACCCAAAACCAAAATCATTCTGGCCACCAACTTCTGGGTCGTATGGTTTGAATGGATGGCCCATTCCAATTTAAAAAAATAAATAAAATAAAAAAACAACCAAAAACTTGAACGGATTGAATCGACTGGATCAACAGTTTGACCACCCAGGTCAGTGAATTGCTGACCATTTCAACAGTTTTTGACCAAAGACTAGGTTTAGGGTAAAATAGAACAAGTTGCCTGGATGGTTCCCAGGCCGAATGTTCCAACAGTCCAGATCAATGGCGGTTCAAAAACACTGCACTAGGCTATACCAATATAGCCCAGATTTCTCAAGAAGTTGTTTATCTTGTCCTTGCTCAGAAGTGCATGCACTGATTGTTGAACGCAGACAGATGTTCACTTAGGTCGGTGTACAAGACAGCATTTATTCCCCAGTGTTGGACATAATAACATTATAGAAAGGAGGTTGTTCGTTGTATGATGGGCCTCCATACATCAAGACAATGAGCACTCACTAATCACAATTGACAATGAATCTGGCCATAGCATAGTGCATCATGGTGCCCATGTAGCAGAATAGCACATATTTAAGCTCATCAGATACCTATTTCACCAAGATCAACATTGTGAGTTGAATGATATCTGTAAAAATGAATTAATCTTTCCATTTCAATATTTTCCCTGTGCGTACAAATTTCTCAGATCTTACAGCATTATCAATGAGTAGAAATCAAGAAAAAAGAACATCCTTTCATGGCTATACACAACCAAAAAATAAAGAAAGTTTCTTCTCTGTTTTACAGCCAATGGTTAGATTGTCCATCATGTTAGCTTGTTATCTTGTATATTCGAGTTCTTCCAATTGATAATGACATCTCATAAACCTTCAGTTTGTGAAACTGCTTGCCATGACATCCTGTATCTCATTCTTATATAAGCAATTTGGTTGTCCATTTTTTTAATCAGTAATTTGGTTGTATCTATTGTCAGATTGAACTTCGACCTCCTGCTTATATCTTGAACACATCCATAGAGGCCCAAAATTTTTCAAAAGCAGTTACTGGGCCAAGTCTAACGCATCTAAGTTTCCTTCAAAACCACTAAAAGATGGAAAGAAAATAAGGTCAGTCCAGTCTGATACCCCTTTCTCTGGCTGCTTCTACAACAGCAGTTATGTTTCCTATTGTGCTAGACAATTTGAAAAAGGATTTCCATAGGCTAATGGAAAAGGGATACACTGATAAGGCCCTCTGATGAAACCTCTCAGAAATGGATTGGGTTACCTCTAGATTACCCAAAATGCCTGCTGCTTCAACCCATATAGGTTCTGGTGCCACTGGGACCGTCTGAAAGATGGAATTGACCAGGAGAGAGCTTGCCCAAAACACAACACTATGAGAAGTAATTGCACCAGAATTTGAAACATTAATCATCAACTTACAAATCGACAATGCCAACTGATAGTTTGCCGGTGAAATCTCCATTATAGCCTCAACAAGATCCACAAAATCCTTAAGTTGACCGAATTTTTCAGGCAAAAGAGACGGCCCATGCCATGCTTCGAGAACAGAGTTTATTAGAGAGCAATCAAAAGAAACTGGACCAAGAATGTTATTGATCAGCTGCCGTAATCTTGGTTTCTTGATATTTTCAATGAATTTTCTAGACAATGGCTGGGAACTAGGAAAAGACCAGTCATCAACCAAGTACCTACTCAAAAAGCTCACTATTTCATTGGCATGAGTATCCTCCATTGGTTCTGAACAATCAGCAAGCAAAAACCTGGCATGCTCTCTAACACAGTACTCATAATCCTTGGGAGAGGCTACTTTCAATGCCCTATCAATTGTCCTACGAGCTTCAGTTAAATCTTTTTGCAACAATCTATGGAGAGAAAGATTAAGTAACCCAAACAATGCATCTCTTGTATTAGACAAAGCAGAAGAGTCTTCTTGATTCACAGATAAAGGTAATTCCAGTAAGAGTAACTCATTATCCATGACACTATTTGTCTTCTCATTTTGAGGACACTGAGCCTTCCAAACAGATTGAAACCATCTAACCATCAGTTCTTTCGCTAAATTAACTTTTCCATTCTCCAAAGCATACTCAGCATATTGATTCCATATGCACTGAACTCCAGGGGTATCACTCGGCCAACCACTCAAAGCCTCTTCAAATCCTTCAAAACCCAAACCCTCAAATTCATGATCATTCAGTCGAGCTGATAACAGAAAGAGTTCTAGGCAAGTAGGATATTTTTTAAGGTATTTGCCCAACAAATTCTTACTGTAGTCTAAGCCTTCAAGTGCTGCCATACACCTAACATGACTCACAGCTAACAGGTGTGCTGATCTGAGAGCGGCTTCCCTTGTATCTGAGCTGGAAGCAACTGACCCCACAGCCATTTCCATCAGTTGTACAACCAGTTGTTTCTCACCAGGTGTTAACTGAACTGAAGGCCATTCTATCATCGTATGGAACTCTTTCTCAAACTCAAACTGCCTTACTACTGCATCAGGCATCTTTTTGTAGATCACCAAGTACAGACAACAAACCCAGAAGATACATTTGTCAGATACAGTTAAACATACCAGGATATCTGAGAGCAACAAAGAATGGGTGCTGCTACAATCTTTCACAGTCAGTAAGAGTGTCTGTATTCTTTGGATGGCCTTCCCCACATCCCCAGACATGCACAATAAATCCATCATCTGTAAAAACAAGTCCAAGATGCATGCACTAGCATGTTTTATATCCCTATCAGGAGAAGATGCAATGCGGCAAAGTGCCAACAGTGCATTATCATATGCAAGCAACTGATCATCAAGTTGTAAGCGACTGTTGATGTACATAAGCCAGAGCTCATAAGAACCTTCATTATGGTGGATCTGGTGAACAAGATATGATGTTGACATAATTTGCATTTCAGTTCTCCAAGGAAAAAAGATTAAACGATGTAAATGAATAGATGAATTCTCTGCATCATAAGAAAACTACCCAAACAATAACGGTCAAATGCAAGATGTGCACAAGGAAAAGTTCCCAATGCACAGCTAAGATGGTAAAATCACTTAATGCTTTGATATTGCTATATGCGTCCTTTTTCTTTAGTTATTTTTAAATCCTCCATTTTTCATGTGTGATGCCGCATATCTTTATCTAAACTGGAAATGAACTATGAACCTCAGAATGCAACAGAGACACCTAATTGGGCTGCTTGAAGAAACCAACTACATGACCTTCTGATATCTCTGGACTCATCAATTCCACAAAATCTCTCTACTCATCAAGTCATGTTTGAGGAGCCATTGCTTGGTGCAGTGGTTAAATCCCAGGCTGACAAGCTTGAAAATGTGGGTTTGAGTTTGAGAGAAGCAACTTCATGCACAAAAATACCAAAGGTTAGGTCCATATCCAGCTCACCCTTCTGAAGACCCCAGATAGCTTGGAGCAACAGAGCCAAGTATATTGGTGGGGGTTGTGCGCCCACCCCACCCCCCCAAAAAAATAAAAAAAAAAACTTGAAACTGAGATGTGAAGGATCACTCTCTAGTGCTCCTCCAACTCCCAAAATTGAAAAAAGAAGGTTTACTTTTTCTTTAAAAAATCTGTAATAGATCCAAACCTTCCCGTCCCATTTCTCTCAAAACCTTACTTTTTTTTATCGATAACAGAACTCAAAACCCTACTTCTTCTATTCCCTATTTCACTTTCTTGTTTAACTTGCCCCCCCCCAAAAGAAATGCTTTTTTCATGCACTTAGTTGGAAAAGGTCCACAAAACATACATACTTTCATCTTCAATTTTTTTAGTTCTAATTTCACATGGTTTCGGTTGAGGTTGGGATGATGGATGCTCAGAAAGGTCAATGAGGTTTAAGTTGGTTTGTAATATTCTCTGTATTGCTATTTATCGAAAAAAAAATATTCTCTGTATTGCTTCTAACTTTCCTCCCTATCCATCAAGTAATGTCTTCAGGATTTGAATTTGACTACTTTTTTTCTTGGTGGTTAATTGAGATTTTAATGCAGTGGTATCAACTACAGGTTCCAACCCTAGCGAATTTTCAATTCTCCATGTCTTTTGAGTTTCCTTTTTCATTTGCCGCTATAAACAACACTAGCTATCCAGAGTCTCATTGAAATTATTTGGTGTTCTCAGCATGAGTAGGCTAACTCATTGCAACTTTCCAACAGTTGCTGAACATCCACATGATGCACTGCCATTTAGGGCTGTCAATGGACTCCGAAAGTCCAAAACCTGATCCAACGTCAATTTTATTATTCCGGATTCAGATGTGGCTGTACTCTATGACCTGGCAAAAAGTTGACCCAACCTGTGAACCCGACCCAACCCAACCCGAAAGAGACAGGGGGTCTCATATCTAGCTACCTTAATTTGAGAATGACCTAAGCCGGCCCAACCAAATTAGGACTATGTATGTATAGTTAGAAATTTTCATTCTTTAATTTTTACCAGTGTTTTAAAAGCACAAGGGCCAATTTGCGCCTGAGGTGCACAGCCTTTTGAAGCAAGGCGCAAAATTACAAAAAAAATGATAAAAATTTAAAAAAATGTCAGAAAATTCAAAAAAACCAAAAATTTTATTAAAATGCAAAAAAAAATAAAAAAAAATTAAACATAATGTTGATAAAAAATCTAAACTTAAATTTTAAAATAAATGTTTTAAAAAACCCACAATCTCTTTTTCCTCGATTGCATTACTTCAAGTAGCTAATGTGATGTAAAACATATTGCATTCTTGATTCTATGAGTCACCTTTGTACCACACCCCTCGAGGAAAGCCTGAACAAGTTCATGTTAGGGTCTTAAATTCTTATTTCTTACATATAAGAATTTAAGACCCTAACATGAACTTGTCTGGGCTTGCCTCGAGGGGTGTGGTCGTGGGTCTAGGAGCGGAGCCCCCGGCCCAGTAGTTAGGCCCAAAAAAGCAAAAAGCGCAGAATTTTAAAAAAGGCGCATGCCTGGGCTGGGGTGCAAGGCGCATCAGGCATGCGCCTTTTGAAAGGGATGCACCTAGGACCTAGGCACGCCTCAAGCGTGCCTTTTAAATCACTAATCTTTACTATTTATTCTTTAATCTTTGAATTTTTGAAAATTTTCAAGTTTTTTATTTTATGTTTGGAATTTTAAGGTTAATTCCTTTAATTTTGGCGTTTTTCATGTGTTTTTTCTTTATATTTTAAAACTCCAGTTATTTTTAGGATTGACCCATGGGTCAACCCTAACCCAAACATTTAGGGTTAGGGGCATTTGCTAACCCAAGCCGAAGTGTCTTGACCCAACCCAATTGCCAAGTCTATGTGCCATTCAAATAGAAGTTAAGATCCGCTCAATCATCTGTATTTCATGTCAGGATAAGGCATGGAGGATGATGACAATAAGAAAGTCATACAGCATTATATAGTTTCAACTTCTAAGAAAATTAGAGTTCCACATATCCAAAACTTGAAGAACATCTAGAAAATAATAATTTTAATATCAAATCATATCCACTCAAGGATGGCTACAATAAACTTGATGACAATATGATGAAAATAAATAAATCAGTGAACATTGTACACTGACTGGATGAACTAAGTTCACAAATAATCATGACCAAACATCTATAATCTATATATCTGATTTACATTCATAGGTTAGAATAGATAAATAGTATTATCGTTCCTTGAGAAAAATCAGCAAATAAATCAATGAATTGTCAAAAAAGAATGGCTGGAAAAACAATAATGGCAGAGAGAAATAATGAATCAACATTCAATTTGTAGTTCAAGAAGATAAGGTATTTGATTTTAGAGATGAATAATGTTAGGAGTCCCAAAGCCCATTTACCTTACATGTCAAAAAAAGCAAAAAGAGAAACATACCGCATGAAAAAACATGTCATCAGTTCCAATAGCCTTTTCATCCCTATAGTAAATATGCAGATAAACAATCCAGAGGACCACGGATGTTGGATCAGTCTCAAGAGATCGTGACAAAACAGATAGTGCCTGCAATATAATTGTAAGAAACATAAAAGACAATAATGACCAGGTTTCGGAATTATACTTAGACAGGATCAAGCATGGATATAAATGTTTTAAATAATCAAAAAATGAAACAAATTTCAGTTTTATATGGCATGCACAGATATATATAAATACATTCACATGACATGGAAATTTGACCAAATCAACTGCATGCTGGACTACCTATCAACCACATTTATTTCTGGGGTCAGATGACAGTCCCAATAGTTTAACTTCCAGTCCAACCCAGGTCACAGAACACAAATAAATTTCAAAAACATGTTTGTAGTTGTTAATATTTTTAAGAACAAGCCAGATGCATCACCTTTTTCTTCCCATCTACTTTGTTGACCTCCTGATTGAGAAAAATAAAAGCCATTTCCAAGACTTGCTCAGGATCAGCTGAACCATGGATGACTTGCCTCTGAAGGACACACGTAAGGAGTTAGAATAGTTCTGGAACATGACTCAGATAGCATGACTGGACAACTCTAAGGATTAGAAGAGAAACTTGGAAAAAACACAAATTTTCCAAAGCACTGCACTCCACGTGACAAAAAACTTAACCACTGATATTTCTACCAACTTGCAAGGAAGAAGATACAAGTAGCACATATGTTGTACACGACTAGATATTGCATCCAAACAAAGAATACATGAAAAACAAAAAGATCAGAAAATAACTAATAGCTTTTTTATAAGCAAAATAACTAATAGTTTATTCAAAAATAATGGTTCCAATCTTGAAATGAAATAATACTAAAGGTGAAAATAGAGCTTAGTTTGTATAAATTAAAGAATGATCCCAATGGTAAGAAATCTGCAGGTATTTACCATACTTGCTATACGTTCTCGTTCTGATCATCTTTAATAAGATAGATACAATTAGGACTGTCAATGGACCAGATATTGGTCCAATCTGATCCGGTCCAGTATGAGTCCTTTACAGATGAACATGGACCAAGTCTAATCCAATCCGATGAATACTTTGGACCATCCTGGACTAGTCCGATTCAATGTCTAGACTGTCCAAACTGTTCAAATTGGTTTAAATTTAGATTGGATCCAACCCAAACATGGTTCATTGGCACCCATACTCTTATGTCAATGGACCAGATATTGGTTCAACCCAACCCAGTCCAATATAAATCCATTACAAATGGATCAGGTCCAATCCAATTCAATAAATACTTTGGACCATTAATTCTGAACTGGTCCAATTCAATGTCTTATTGGTTCGCCCAATCTGTTCAAAATTGATTTTGATTCAGATGGGGTCCAACCCAACCCTGATCCATTGACACACCTACATACAATTTAACACTATAAACAGTTGTTTGATCAACAATAGAAATTTTGTTTCAGTTGTAACATGCACAATTTGGAGAAAGCAAAAGGTCTGTCAATTGAGTCTCTCAAACAAAATGTTTCTAGCAACTTCAAACATAACCATTCACAACAAAAGTAGAAATGCAAGATACCTTGATAATATAATCCATTGAACTATAGAATTTAAAAGAAGAAGAAGAAGAACATATCAACAAACCATTGCTTCATCTTGACTATGGAAATATAAAGATTGCCTGGTCCAACTGTCACTGTGACGCAACAGAGATGCATCTGAAGGAATGTTTCTCTGCAAGCAGAAAGGAAGAGACAAAGAAGTGCTGAAACCCCTTTGCCAGCATTGTCCAATACTCCGAGCCAGTATCGATTCACAAGAATGCAAGTCAGCTTTAAGAAGATCTGTGCCAACTAGATATGTCACTGGAGCTGGCATTGGATGATAATTAAGACATTGAGGAGGTATGCATGCTCTATTAGGTTTTTCAAGAGGTGATGATGGTTTAACATGGCAATCTGCATAAGAAAATCATTTTTTAGATTAAAAGAAAGATTGCATCAAGGCTTGGAAAATTTGTAAAGATTTTGTTAATACCAGAACTATCAGAATCATCAATCTGCTTCATATTTCTCTGAGAGTAGTCCCTAAAATGCTGCCAAGAACATTCTTCGTTGTTACATTTACCTCGGAGCTCAAACATACAGAGAGGCCAAAGAGGATCAATTGAAAGGTCACAAGTATAAGACCCCATTTCTCCCATGCTTCTACCTCTTGAAGTTTCTGTTGTCCTCAAAACATCAAGCATAATCTCATTATACCCAACACCAGTGTGCTCTTCATGTGAAATCTCATCTAGGCACTTATGATGATTAGCAGTCTGGGATCGGCTTATGCTGATTATAGGTTTAAATTTCACATAACCAAATGTGCACCTCACATCTGAAGAAGGTAAGACAGATACAGATGTAATTGAACTATGACTTTCTTTCAAATAGGACTTGTCCTCATTGGAATTGACAGTACCGTTAAATTCACCGCCTAAAGAACTCTTATCACCACAGCTCTTGTCTGTGATTTGCAAAGAAAGCTTAGAAGCACCTCTCACTGAACGAAAAAAGAAATATAAAGTTACCAAATCAATCAAACAAAATCCCATATGATTTGATTACTGCCAAAATACACAACCTATATTAGGTGACAGATGAAATCTAGAATCAAGTCAGGTTGTAGGTCTGGTAAAAGAAATGGACGTAGAATCAAAGACTAGATACCTCAGATTCTTACTGAAATCCAATTCTGGACAGAAGCCAAATTGTAGAATGTTATCCAAATAGCCCTTAAGCTCTCTTAAGCTCTAAAAAGTACAAGCTTCCTACCTCATATCAAGGTTCAGCCAAAATATATACAACAATATTCAAGGAATTCCACAGATTCTAGGATAAGCATCATCAAATTCAAAACTGTCCTTATTTATAATTTATATAGGCATAAGATGTTATGACAATTCTTTTTCAAAAAACAAAAGTAGGAAGTCAGGCCTATATGATAAAGGATTTAAAAACATGGATGAGAAATCATCATAAACTGCAAACTATATGCTTTTCACCTTTTCTAAATTCTAATAGCTTCTAAATCTTGTACAACCATGAGGATGAAGTACCAAAAATACAACCATTTACAAACTTAGATGTAGTTATATATTGAACTGGAACACAAAATTCTGATGGCAGATTTATCACCAAAGTTAAAACCCAGAAGAACCAGAATGTTGAACTTAAAGGAAACTTGAGCTTTTGATAGAATATTAACAGATAAAGAATCCCAATAGTGTAACACTAAAAAACACACTTCTGAAAAACTAGTGAACAGAAAATACCTCCAGTAGAAGAAACTTGGTTTTGTTCCACTTCCAGGACTGTTTGGTTGCCCATAATCCGATCAGCTGTCTTATTTCCAAAATCACTTCCTGTTCCTTTTTCAATAGTGCACCCCCTCTTCAAGCCTATACCACTTTCTTTCGACAAAATGTTAGTTCCTAAACGTGCAAACAGTTCAGACCTCAAGGAAGCTTCAAGAAGGGCAGGATCCCGGATACTATCAATTGAATACTTCCTTTCCAACCTGGCAGGAAAGCCCATTTCCTTCTCTATATTTTCCTGCTTGCTATCACACTGTGACCTGCACTGAACAGATTTGTTGTCAAAAGGAAATGTCTCTTCATCTTCATCTGCTGGCACGTCTGGGTGGTTTGAAGGAGTGCATACTCCATTCACAGCACTGTTGTCCTTGTGATGTAATGGTTCTGATGTACTGGCATCAGGTTCACTACATGGTTCAGAACCTAAATTTTGCCCACTCATGGGCTGGTAAGGTGCATTAAAAACAGTACCATCTCTACATTGAATATTTGAATCACCGGCCAGCTGATTCAATTCTTCCAGTTCAGCCTGCATTTGATGGCCTAAAGTGGGCGATTGGTCCAGGTTAGCTTCAGGAACAATATTTGAGGAATTTAATCCAATTTCTGTACATTTATTCCACCCAGAACTCCACAAAGAATTGGAACCCTCCATCGTAAAAGCTCGAAGCTGAGCTGAAAACAGCTCTCTTCTCCGATAAAGAAGAGTACATCTGGCATTAGCCTCAACCAAAGCTCTTTGGGCTTTACGATAAGCTTTAAGTGCTTTTCTTTCTTCAAGTTCACAATGACGTCTGTGCTCTTGTGCCTCCTCCAACTCTTTATCTTGCAATTCCTCAATTTTTGCTAAAGATTCAATATCCATGCTATCATGTCCCAAGAGATTTAGCTGACCAGAACAATTTAACAAGCATGTGGTATTCGGAAATGCCTAGCATTAACCAAAAAAATAAATTTACCACACTGGAAACAAAGTAGCCAAGGAAAATGTAATATACAAGCTCTACATTCCTAAAAAACTTGAACTTACATCAGAGGTTCTCATATTGCTTTCCAGAACATGGAGGGAACACTTATGACATGTACTATCAGATATGGGCTTAAGTGTCCTATCACCAGATGAAATTTCGTTATACTCACTGCCTCTCACTAAGTGTTCAGAAGCTGACTTGTTCTGAAACATGGATGAACGAATCCCCCCAAGTCTACTAGGAAATTTTACCATGTCAGTGTTCTGCAAAAGTAGAAGATTAAAATGATAAAAAGGAAACAGTAGGCAATTGAGCAAACTCAAAATCATCTGGATGTGGTTATGTACAAATTTAATTAAAAGCAACAGTAAGTTTGACCACATTATTGAGGTTAATCACGCTACAAACTCACAGACACTTTGGTGCAAACCATCTCAGACATAAAAATTAAAATGAATATGAAATAGGGAAATATTTCATTAAACCATCCACATTGTGAGAACAAGAAGTGGTTAGGACCATATCCAGCTGCATAAAGGTAACATAGAGAAGAACACTTGAACAGTTATATCTTCCTACATGCAATGGGTAGGCTTTATAATACTTTCCTACATGCAATGGATAAACATTATAATACTATGTAATTATAGCTAAATTATAGTGAAGATAATAAAACTTATAATTAGTGACTTTTTCCCAAAAACAAAGAAACAAAGTGTAATGTATTTGTAAATATTCACCAATGTAGTGGATTTTGTTGTTGTCATTTTTGCCATTCCTAACAATTAAAATCAAGCATAAATACATGTTTTTCTATTTGAAATTTTTAAAACTGAACGTTTTTAAGACCATGAAATATTTATTCCATGCTTTGAAAAGCTACAAAGAAGAATGAATGTGTTCTTGAGCCACTGTAGAAACATGGATAGGGTTAATGATGGAACGAACAATGAAACTTTGCAACAGCATTTTTGTAAACGTTCACTTGCATCACATACACAAGTGATCCGTGCAATAAGGTCACCCATAACACAGCTCTCCCACTGTAGTTACCTTAGCCCCAGGTCATGCCAATCAACAATATTGGAAAATGGCAGCTAACTTCATAACTAGTACTGAAACTTGAAAGCCGGTCACCTTTTGAGTCTCTTTATACAGCCTGCTTTGAGTCTTATAACCTTCTGTAAGATCGATGTAATGTGTGGGACCCAACTGAGAAAATGAAAAATCCACAGTAGCCAAGAATGGTTAATAAATTTTTTTATTTCATGGAAAATGTCAATATAGTTTCACAACGTTGGATAGGGTTAATAAATTCTTATAAGCTTCTGTAGAAACATGGATAGGGCTAATGATGGAACGAACAATGAAACTTTGCAACAGAATTTTTGTAAACATTCACTTGCATCACATACACAAGTGATCCGTGCAATAAGGTCACCCATAACACAGCTCTCCCACTGTAGTTACCTTAGCCCCAGGCCATGCCATTCAACAATATTGGAAATGGCAGATAACTTCATAACTAGTACTGAAACTTGAAAGCCGGTCACCTTTTGAGTCTCTTTATATGACCTGCTTTGAGTCTTATAAGCTTCTGTAAGATCGATATAATGTGTGGGACCCAACTGAGAAAATGAAAAATCCACAGTAGCCAAGAATGGTTAATAAATTTTTTATTTCATGGAAAATGTCAATATAGTTTCACAATGTTGGGCCCACATTCCTGGAAAACCACTCATGAAAACCAACAACACTGGCAACCACCAAAGTCATATTATATCAGGGACATCTTCAAAAATCAGCTATTGATCCAAAAATATATATTCACAAATCAGCTCAAGATGCATTCAAATGGGTAGAAATCTTGAATGTTAAATAAGACAATGATTCGGTAGCTTTAGATTTCTCACATGGAATAAGCTTTACAACACATATCTGATCATGGATGAAATTCATCAATTCAGAAATTTATGTTACAAAAAATGTTAAATATTGATTAGGAAAAAAAGGACAGAAAAGCAAAGGATGGCATAGAAAAAGGTCAGTATTAAGTTGTGAAAACTCAAGTAAGATAAATAAAACATAGTATACATTTACTTGTTCCTTTGGGGAATGCACCCTGAGCTGGCAAGCAGGTCCATCATCTACTCTTGATGTCATCTGCATTAATAGTGAGCTTTGATTTAATGAAGTATGAGAACCCATCAGCTTAGCGCTCTTCTCAGACTGATTGCAATTCATAGAGACACCACCACCTGATAATTTGCAAGGACCCTGCTTATTAAGCAACTCAAAGTTCAGTGCATTAAATATGGTTTCAATGGGACTGAAGATTTACCATCTTTCACCTCAGTTAGTAAATTGCTTGATGGAACAGGATTCTGTTCATCGCCTGCTACTCGCCGTTCATCTGTGCTTGGACTTTTGGTTCCCTCAGGAATTTCTTTGGAGTATTGGCTGTAAACCACCAACTCTCTGTCTGTAAGAGTGTTGTTCATTGACGACATTTTTGGTTCTGATACAGATTTAGAGGCTGGTCTCAACTTCTGCTGCTGACAAACTGATTTGAGCTTATTTTGGCAAGTTTCATCAAGTTTCAAACGCTTGTTCTCCCGTTCATTAGGAGATGGCTGTATGGTATTAGCAGAAGCTGTTCTACCCTTTCCAACAGCATTGTTGGTGAGCTTTCCACCACTGTAACCCTTACGTGAACTTGAAGTAGTTTCCTTGTTTTTCTGGGCAGACTTATATTGAAGCCTCAGTTCATTTTCTCGTATGGCAATTTGTTGGCGTAAGCTCTCAAGATTGTTATTGTTCAAATTCATACCTTGGTTATGCACTCGGTCACAACTTGCCAACATCTTACTGACAGAATCTAAATTTCGCACACGAGATGCCTGTTCAAGTGAAGGTCTCGATCCCCTGGAAGTGGCTCCATTGATTTTGGTCATCGAAGTGATAAAAGTGCGACTCAATGGGAGTTTCTTTGGCACTGTTCTCACTTGGTTATTTGAAGTTCGTTGCAACATATCTGCTTTTGACTGAAAAAGTTGTCGTTTAGATGCATCTACTGCAATAGAGCTGACATTCCTTTCCAAAGATTTTTCTGGTTTATACTCTTCAGAATCACTTCCACTGTCATCATCTGAGAATCTTATCACAAGATTATTATTTGTCCCAGAAGGAAGATACCAACTGGAAGAATTTTGATGATTACCCGGTCTGGATGGTGCTGGACTAGTCTCCAAGTACTTACGATGGTTTTGTTTCACAGATAAAAGTTGAGTGCGACCAGAGCTTACAGGACCATCTATCAATAAAGATTCTGTTAGTTAGATTAGGTACTTGGGAGTTTTACTAGAGGATTCTTTAAAAATAAAATATAACTGTATTGATATTTCCAAAATGTGTGTGTATGTGTATATATCTGATTGAGCAAGTATTGAATATATGTATCAATTGCTCCCAAAGGGGGGGGGGGGGGGTAAACATCCTGGTTCTAACACAATTCCGAAATAACAGGCATGCCTACCACAATAAAGAATACTTAAATTACACCTCATCTGAGGAAAGAACCAAACAATGATCATACTCAACCCCTAATGAGAGGGGGCTTAGAATTGTATTGAGAAGTCATCCACTATGAAGGTCATATGCAAGTTGAATGTTTGAAAATGGAGTTAGGTAACTGGAACTTGCCATCATTAAAGAATGATGCTTGTCACACTTTGTATTGTAATCCATTCTTTTCCACACATTAATGTAAACAATAAAAAAGGACAGGCGATCATCATTATCACCCATGCCTTATCCCAACTATATGGAGTCGGCCACAATAAAAAAAGGACAGGTAATATAAACCAAAATATGCAGTAACTAGTAATAAACTAAAGATGGATGCTAAACAGAAAACAGGGTGCATATTAGACAATGAAAATATAGATGTTAGAATAAGATTAACCAAGAAGAAGAAAAGCATAAATAAAATTGTTTCCATGTGTATGTCAACATCTAAGAAATTGTATAAGATTTTGAAAAATGCTCAATCTCAAAGATCAGGAAGGATGGCTTCCATGCCTAATCTCACAAAATGGCGGTCTTGAGGTGGATTGCCCCATTATAGATGGTTGTGTTACTAAGGCGGAACTTAATGCCTTGCTTGTGTCAGCTTGTTTATCTTTTTTGGGACCGAGACTGGAGGCATTATCCGCTAAGTGAACCAGATTTTCAGTTTTGAAATAACTTGGTTGGTACTCATGAGAATATCCCTTTCTAAGAAGTTTTGCAGAACATTTTTTGATTTTCTTGAGTGGAGACACTAAAAATGTCTGGGTGCTCTGACTATCCAGTTACAGTAGCAGGTGTGCAGAAAGACCAACTGATCATAGTGACGTCAATGAAGACAAATAGGAGGTACTAAGTTGAAGTTTTAGGGCCTGCTCGTTTGCTCTGAAGTCTAACATCTAAAAGTGCAATAATTACATTAAGAGGTATACTGGTATTGGTGAACTTTTCTTTCCTCTGAACTCTGAATGTAGAGAATGTTGTTCTGAATTCTGAAAATTATCAAATATCCAGTTTGACCCTATATATGAGAGTTTCTGTTTGTCTTTTTGCGGGTATCATTGGAAAACACAAAGTTGTATGATTGGCTGATTGCACTTTAAGAAATAAGAGATAAGAGGAAACGAACACCCATTTTTCTTTTAAAGTTAAAAGATTTCTCTTAAGAAATAAGAGTTAGGAGGAAACAAACAGGCCCTTACTCTTAATCAGAGAAAAGCTCGCACTAAACGATGTCAAATTTTAAGGAAGGAAGATTAATCAAGAAGCTTGCAGTAGTCGGCTCAAAAAATTTTGAAATAGAACAAAGGAGTGTCAACCAAGAAGAAGACTTCACAGTAACAGAAAGAGGTAGGGGAGAATGGACACGAATCTTCCTGTTTGAGGAGGATATTCTCTGGATCAGGGGTTTCATTCAGGAAGCAATGGAAAATCAACGATCATTCATCGCTGATCGCAAGAGGGTATCCAAAGGAAAAATCCTCTGCTTGCAACTTAAAGAAAACAAGTTGGGGCAGATATGTCCAAGTCAGTTGTTGGGAAAAATCAGACAAGGTAAGAAGCATCTGCATTCCAGAAGAGCCAGTCAAAGGCGGTTGGAACATTTTCGTCCAGCTGTTGAAGTTCTTCTGTATCCCCAAAGCGAACCCCTATCCTGAAGGTTTTTCTTTCCTCTGCTCGAATCCAGGAGTAGGATCATCAAGACGGGGCTCAGTGTTCATCTCCGTCATCCACTAGGATAAATCGTTCGGTATGTTTGCTCAAAGCCTACTTCGCTGAACTGGAGAGAAGTAGAGCTAGGATTGTCAGCAAACCTTCACTCTGAATTTCTGTTGAAACTGATTCCTCTTGAAGAAAACAGAGCAGTGGGTTTTGCTCCAACGGAAGATCTGGTTTTAGCCTGAATTAAACAAAAATCTTTCCATGTTCAGTAACTGGGTTACTATAGAACAATGGTGGCCAAATATAAATGCAGTCCCAGAACTGTTAAACTTCAACAGTTGGATAAAAGTGAGAGGACTACCATTCCACCTTTGGACGAAGGAGATTTTCTCATTAATAGGAGATCTCTATGGAGGCCTTGAAGAAATAGACCATCGACTGTCAAACCCTTCTGATTTGAGCTTCACTAGGATTAAGGTGAAGAAACGTGGTGTTCACGCCATCCCTCAGCTGATCCCTCTCCTTAAAAGAAATGTCTAGTTCTACCCAAGGTCTTAAAAGGCTAAAGGCGGAGGTGGGACAGTTAGTTCTTAGAGAGGTGAGGCGTAAGCCTCAAAGTAAAAAAGATAAAAATTATAGATATAGTCAATAAACAATAAAGGCATTAAAAAACATGAAATTGGAGTTTTGTGTGATTTTGTTTGGTTCATCTAATCTATTAATGGTCCAATGACCATAACAGGATCTCCTAAAAGCAAAAACCTTATACACACTACAAGCATGTGCATCCAACCACCCATTGGGAATTAGAATGGTCTAAATGGAATGGACCATTCTGATTGGTTTAGATGGGATTCCAATTCTGCCCAACAAACCAGTTGTATTTTTTATTTTGATCAATAACTGTGAAATGTATTAATTAAGATTAAGAAAAATTACAAAGCAAGGGGGCTAAACAATCTTATCTCCCTAGAACAATCATTGAACACCAAAATACAATTACAATATGGCCCAAAATATAGAGTTTCTGTTCACCCCTTGCCTAGCTAGACCATCTGCCAGTGAGTTTGCACTTCTCTTTTCATTGTTGTAATTCCATATCCTAGAGTTATCCTCTTTTAACCAGTTCACCACAAATTCAGAGTCTCCTTCTATGATCAGCTTGCTAAATTGCATATCCTTGACTCTTTGTACCCCTTCAAGAGCTGCAAGTATCTCAGCCCTCAAGGAATCTCCCTCCCCTATTGGTCCAGAAAACATAACTAACAGATTCCCATGTTCATCTCTTATTGCTCCTCCTATTCCGGATGGCCCTGGATTACCCATACTGCTGCCATCAAAATTCAGTTTAATAAAGCCATGAGGTGGAGGAATCCAACCAGAGTTTGATGCCTTCTTAACTAAAGCTAATTCTGCAATCTCCTTCCAGTTTTTTAGCATCTCATCTACTAAGAATTCTGCAAACAATGCCAAAGTTTTCAGCCAATGTATCACCCTAATATGGATGACCTCCAATATTACTTCCAAGCTTCTCTCCTTTTTTGAGAAGATCCGTGAGTTTCTCTCCTCCCAAACAGTCCAACAAACTGCAGCCCTCATACATCTCCACATAATCTTAGCCCTTTTTGTTGGCCAACTCGGCATGGAACTGAATAAACTTTGCACATTCAAAGGGGGTCCACCTGCACCCAAACAAAGAAGTACACCATTCCCAAATGACTTTAGTAAATTGATAGGAAATTAGTAAATGGTATTCAGACTCACCATCAGCTTTACAGAAAGCACACCAGTGAGGATACAGACAACTATTGGGTCTTTTTCTTTGAAGTAAATCACCTATATTAACTCTTTCCAAAAAGGCTTCCCAACAGAAACTCCCAACCTTTGGAGGTATAAGAAGACACCACACCTCTTTAACAGGGAAGGACAGACCCAAAGAAGAAGGTTGTGTTAGGGCTTTAAAGAAAGAAGCACATGTGAAAGAACCCGAGGGGGTAAGTGTCCAAATTCTACTGTCTGCCTTTGTTGGCTCTAGGAAGACCCCTTCAAGAATGGATAACAAGGATAAAATACAATCAAACTCTGTGTCCCTAATTTCCCTTCTAAAGCCCAAGTTCCAGTTGAACCCAGAAGCTGAGTTAGAAGGAACAAGGAAGGAGGAAACTGGTTCATTTTTAAATGTGGAAAGAGTGAAAAGACTCGGGAATTGGTCTTTTAAGGGAGAATCCCCAATCCAGATATGTTCCCAAAAATTGATGAGATAGCATGAGTGCAAGTCATACCTGATCAATGGAGAGAACAATGGAAAAATAGCTTGAATAGCTTTCCAAGGTGTTGCTCTTGTAGTCCTTGCCAGAATCCCAGAATACCATCCATTGTTTGCTACCCCATGAATACTGCCCACTATCTTCACCCACAGTTTATCCTTCTCCAAAGAAAATCTCCACAGCCACTTCCCTAGTAGTGCCAAATTCCTATTCCTTATGTTCCCAATACCCAATCCTCCCTCCCTCTTGCTCCTACAAACCATCCTCTAGTCTGCTAGCCACCCTAACTAGAATCTTAAAGACTAATAAAAAGTAGACAAGAAGGTTAGCTAATGTAGACCTGATTAAAGTGATTCTCCCACCCAAAACTCATCTTTATGAGGGTTATCTCCCAAAGGCAAACCGAGGTAGTTTAAGGGCCAATTAGAAACTGCACACTCTGATGTCTCCCCCTCCCCCATATTGACCCCAACTAAACAATTCTTCTCAAAATGCACCTTAAGGTTTGACATTTGCTCAAAGAGTTGTATAATGAGCTTCAGGTTTCTTATCCTATTAAGGTCCCCTCCTTCACAAAAAAGTATTGTGTCATCTGCAAATTGCAAATGTGTGAGTGGCACATTCTCCCTTCCAACTCTCCAACCTCTTATTAAGTCCCTGGAGTCTGCTCTAGAAATTAGTCTCCCCAAAACTACTACAACCATTGTGAATAAAAAAGGGGAAAGGGGATCTCTTTGTCTTATCCCTCTCAAAGCTGGAAAAAAATCTAGCACTGTCCCATTTGCCAATATGGAGTAATGGCATTTTCTGATGCAGCCCATCACCCACTTACACCACATGTCTCTGAACCCAAAGTTGACCATCACCTCCATCAATAAAGACCAATCCACCATGTCATAAGCCTTTTCCAAATCCAATTTGCATACCACCCCTTTTTTCTTGGATCTATTGAACTCCTCCAAACTCTCATTTGCTATAAGTATTTGATTTGTTATTTGCCTCCCTTTCACAAAAGCTCCTTGGTTGTCTGCTATGATTGTTGGGAGCACTTTCCTAATTCTAATGGACAGCACCTTAGTGATGATCTTATAGAGGTTATTAACTAGGATGATCGACCTATAGTCCCCCGGGTGATTTGCATTCCTATTCTTGGGAACCAAGGCAATGAATGTGGAATTTAGCCCCGGGTTTATCATTCCTCTAGAATAAAATTCATCAAACACTAGCCTTAGGTCCTCTTTTAGTATCTCCCAACAATCCTAATAAAAAGCCATCGTATAACCAACAGGGCCTGGTGCCTTTGATTTGTCCATAGAAAACACTGCTTCCTTTATCTCTTCCAATTCAAATTTCCTTTCCAGTCATTCCCTATCCTCCAGTTTCAGTGTTGGCCAATCCAATCCCTCAAGCCACACCCTATTGTTTAGGGGTCTTCTAAAAATAGACCTAAAATGATCTGCAAAGGCCCCTACAAATTCTCTTTGATTGGAAATTATTGCCCCTTCAAACTCCAGACTTGAGATATAGTTCCTTCTCCTTCTTCCACTTGCCACTACATGAAAAAACTTGGAATGGACCATTCCGATTCCAATTCTAGACCTCTATTCATGTAAACCAAACAAACCCTACACTACTACCCAATTTATAATTCCTGAAAAACCACTGTAAAAACTAAAAAGAAAAAGAATTAAGGTCCACCATTAGAATACATGTTGTGGACAAAGTTTCATTAGAATACTCAAAAAAGTAATTTGTTTGTTTCGATTTTAAATTTTAAAGCATTGGTTTTTTTATCAAAGAAAGGTAATTTATTTTATTTACCAAAAAATTTAAAGAATATGATGGCCGTTAACAAAAATACCCTCTAGAAAACCCATTAGACCATTGGATTTTGAAGTGTTGGTATTATTTGTATTAATTAATTCATACTTGCTTACTAACAAAGTACAAACCATATCAACCATTTGTCACCTAGCTAAAAACATAAATATAGAAATACTTAACAGCCAATTTTTCATCCACACAAAAAAAAAATCATAAAAGTACAATCAACCTAAAAATTTCAGAACTTAAAAGACAAGTTTTAAAGCTTAGCATAATAGTTTAACCTAAAAAATCTCCACAGAAGTACAACCGTAAAATCAAAACCTAAAAAGTACTGCTTCGGTTTATCATGGATTGAGCGGTGGATGGATTTCCGAATTCCAACGCAGAGTATGGTCGATGGGTTTCCAAATAAATAGAGCAATCTTCAATCTTTTCTGGTAAAAAGGTTTGGTCTCATGTTCTCACTTTTTTAATCAATTCTATGGGTAAATCTCCAACAAACAAGAGCATGAAGAAGAAGAAAAGAGATATCTTCACCGGCCATTCATGAAGAACAAATGTTTGTTCTCTTTTATAAAAAATATGTTTTTGTTCTCAAGAATCATGATTTCTCTCTTGGATTGTAGCACAACAAAAAATGCATTTCTTAATTCCATTGATTTTCCATTTTGCAGGGGCAACTAGTGTGTGCCTCATAAGTTATAAAGCACAAGGCGAAAGGCGAAAGGCGAAAGGCGAAAGGCATGCGCCTTACCCCTTTAAGGGATGAAAGGGGTAATACTTGCTGGACTTTCAGTGGTCCAATTGGCTTGGCTGACTCTATAAAAGCTGAGGTAATAGCGGCTCTTATAGGAATCAGAATAGTGAAAAATCTGGGAATCCAGAACAAAATAATTGCAGGAGACTCACCAGATACCATAAAATGGTTAAAGGAAAAGGAGGGAGGACCTTGGAGACTGAACCATTACTTGACAGAGGCTAGGAACTCCCTGAACTACCTAAATGCAAGACTAACTTGGATTCCTAGGGAACTAAATCACATAGCAGATGGTTTAGCCAAATGGGGTGTATTTCTGGAAGAACTGTATAGTGATAAAATTCCTCCTCTGTAAGCTTTGGGGTTCTACCCCTGCCATGTACATCTTCTCATGTACTTTTCTTGCTTTAATGAAATTTGGTTAATCTTTCCTCAAGAACAAAAAGAGCATTAGCATATTCTTTATTAGTCATATTTAATTAAGGTTACAAAGTCATCCATAAACAGCATCCCCAAATTTTAGGACTGCACACTAAGACATTTCACTGAGGATGGGCCTTGGCACTTTCAGAAATGATAACCTAAATTTGGCTTTCCCTTTATTTTCTTCCATAAATACTACAAAATAACAAGGTTCTCACTATTCAAACACCAAAATACTGAAATTTATTAAATTTATTGACCTTACCATACTGACTTTAAATTAATTTGAAACTAAAGTTGTTTAGATTTATTTTGCTACCGATAAGAACAAGTTGTTTAGATTTATTACATATAACATTAATACCCTTAAGTTGAAACTAACTGATTTATTACATACATAATCACCTAGGACTCACATTATTACCTTTTGAGCTCAAGATGACAACCAGTGAAAGGATGATGGATAAACGGACAAGATACAAGATTGGTAAATGAAAATAAGCAAGGAGGGAGAGGGAGAGGGAAGAGTAGATTGTTGAAGAATGCCAAAAAGACACGATGGCAGGTGATGAAAATCAACAAAGGAGTATTTCAAGATTGAACTATTATTCTGTCTCTTTTGATAGTTTCGTCTATCTATTTTTTTAATTACTAAATAATACACTCGATAGTCTACTTTCAGCATTGAAGACCAGTTTTTTCCCTTAAAAGGTTTGCACACTTCATTTATTGGACCATGGATCAATTATAGCTCCATCTTCTCACATGTTAATGACTTTTTCTATTGTCTACCCAATTATCCACTATTACTCATTAGAATAGCAGCAACAACAGCTGAACAGCAATAGGAATAGCCTCTGCAGTAGAACCAGAATAGTACCGGAACATTTTAAGTCCTTCTAGTACCTCTCCAACTGATTGTAAAGCGTGAAGTATGAAATAAAAAGGAAACTAAAGGAAAAACTGCAAATGAAATCTGAAACAGTTGAATGAACACTCAACAAAAGTAAGAGAACAAAGTTTCCGAATTGCAAGTGCGATTAGATGATGAAACAAACAAATGGTGAAACACAGTGAACGTGACTTACCAACATTAGAGGTTCCACTATGTTTGTTCGGAGGAGCAGCATTACTACGCCCAATTGAAGGCGCAGTAATATTGGTGGGTTGTGCAGGAGAACATGCATGAATTTCCTGAACAAAGAAAATGACAAAAATGATAAAAACGCAAGGACTAACAAAAATCTCCAGTAGTCTTCGGCGAAGAATATATTAGATTTACAGGGGAAAGGGCCAGAAACATCCAAATAATTGCGAAATTTCCATCCAATCAAAATGAAGTAGAACATACTCAAGAACAAGCGAGTTGTTACCAATAGGAGGAAGAGAAGAAGAACAAAAATACCAAAGCGTACAATTGGAACCTGAATTGGTAAATGAGTTGGGGAATGAATCTAAACTACAAGAGAGCATACGAAGGATAGCTACTAGAGATCAGTGACAAGATGCAAATTTAGAAGGAGCAAGTCGTCGAAATGATATAATATAAAGTTAAAAGAACCTAAATCTCGGAACCATGGGATAAGATAAGATGTACAAGCAGAAATTCAAAATAGAAAAAATAAAATAAAATGAAAGTTGGGAAAATTGATCTATTGCAGAATCATCAATTCATCGAGAAACAAAGATGGAACAACAGATGAATGATAGAAAAAATCAAGGTTAAGAAAGAAATTACATCGCTATCAGATGAAGAAAGCTCGCCTTCTTCTCTGATCCCTATGGGGTTCTCCTTCGGCTTCGGGTTAGGGTTTGAATGTGTAGACATTGATGCGATAACTTTTGCCCTGAGCTCCTCTATCTCCTCCATTACCTTTCTCTCGTTCCCTTCACACACTTCCTCCTTTCCTTTCCTACGACTTTCCTATGGAATGACGGTTAGAACACGAAAGGAAAATCAGCCATTAGTGAAAGTGGAGCGGAGCGGCGGCAAAATGGAAAATGGGCGTCGAGGCTCTTTTCCATTTTCTGGGTAACTTAGAAACACCCCCTCTATTATGGGGTCAGTGACAAAGTCCCCTCCTACTTTTTTTTTTTTTTTTACAAAGACTCGTGGACTTTAGCCGTTAGATAAATACCGTTAAATCAGGAGGTATTAAGGCTGCGTTTGGAATCGGTACAAAACGTCATCGGTATAAAAATATCGATGGTGAAAGAGTGTAAAGCTTTAGAGCTGATGAGATTTTACATCGATTATCAACATAAAACTCCATTCCATTTAAACTTACATAAAATTAAACCGGAATGGAGTTTTACGTGAATAATAACTATACTCACTTTTCAAATGCCTACAAAACCAAACTTATGTAAATACATATATGGTGGATATCGGGTCTTAAGAAATGATTTTGTTTGCTTCCATTATCAGAACATCATGGTCATATATAAGAAGATTTACGAGGCCAAGTTCCGATGCCTTGCTGATTCACCCTAGAGCTTATTCGGTTCCTCTCCTAAACTCTTCATTCCAGACCCACCACGTTCATTAGTTCCCATTGCACTCTATTCGGGCCCTCTGGACTTCTCATCATCTCCACCATGGCCCACTCGATTGCCAATGTGACGGTCCGATGCCACCAAACATCACATCCTACACAGGATTAATAATTTTTTTACAAAATCAGCAATATAATTGACAACAAGAAGAAGAAACTTTTTTTCTGACAAACAAAACTTTAAACTTCAAATGGGTTAAGCATACAGTAAGGTTATGTTTGGTTTGAAGGAAAAGGTAGGAAAAGGAAGGAAAAGATAAAGAAACGTTTACAATCTTCGTATAGGTTTTCCTACTTTTCCCTTCCTTTCCCTGCTTTTTCCTTCAAACCAAAACAGCATTAAATGAAATGGATTCGTAGAGAGAACCCCATACCTTTACAGTTTTCAAATCGCAATTCAGTATGCTAAATCAATCTTTTGCGATTCGTGGAAGAGGATTCTACTAAGTCCACCGTAAGTCTTCTTATTCCCCTTACTTTTTTTTCCATGCAAAAAGAACTATAAGCTAAGATCTGATTCTTATTCAGTTATTTGAGGGCTCGCCTATCTGCAATTCTTGAATACCACACCCTAGGGACAAGATGACTAGGTGAGTACCCATCAGCATTTCAAAGAGTTGCACCTGTTGCATATCATGTAAACTGGTGTTCTTTTGGTCTCAAGCTCAATGAAAATGAAAATGACAAAGAATTGCGAAGTTTCCATCTCTGATCCTGCATTGGTTGACCTTTAACTTATATTAGCAATGGCGGGCTTTTGTATTTGATCAACATCCAGTAATCAAAGTAATTCCAGCTTTACACATTCCGACCACTACCCATTTCAATTCTTAAATTCCATACATTTCTGAATTCGGTTACATATAATTAAAAATCTTGGCCCCTAGAGATTCAAGAAACTTGTATAATGATGGTTTCAAATTCCATTCCAACCAAGTTATAAGAACAAATTAGTTGTTATTATATTGCCAAACATGTTTGAGCCTTGTGGAACTTCTTGTAGAATTACGAAACAGGTTGAAATGTTAGATATGAAAACTACCAAACAGTTTTTAGATTATATATATATATTGTCTCTTGTTTGTTACTTGGTTGTTGAAACATGAGAATTGATTCATCATTTCCTCCGTAGGCCTTTGACAACAGTGGATTTTATTGGTGTGATGTTGCGCGAGCCCTAGAGCCATATTCAATCATCCATAAGAAATCTGTCCAATTCTTTGTTTTGTCTTTTTACTTTGTTTGATATATTATTTGGTTCTCAGTTATTATTTCCATCATAGTTGCATGAGATTACCATCTTAATAGAGATAACCACATAAAAATGGGCTACTGATGAGATTGTTGAACCTTGTTCTCATAGTCCTTGTTGACGATAATTGTTGCATGAAAGTTTGTGGAGTACATTTACTTGATATTCTAATAGTGAGCTACTAGTGATATTCTAATGGAGTACATTTGCTTACATGATTTGCTCACTTTACAAGGATTCTTATCAAGTTCCCGTTATTTCCCTTTGATCATACATCTGCTCTTTCTTCATTATTTAATGCATTCATTATGGGAGTTTTCCATGGATTCAGCCCTATGTTCACATGAGACTGTTCATGGGATGCAGTGCAGACTGTAGAGGTTATCATGTTGGAGATTTATGAGGCATCTGTCATTGGGTTGAGTCCAACTCCAACCCAATTCCTAGTTTAATCTATAATAAAGGTTATTTCCTATCCTATTAATGCTGAAGACTTTATCGTCTGGACCTACTCTTGTATTCGCCATTTAACCATAGCTTTAGGTTATAAAGATATTAAATTGGTTGGAACCCAAACTTCTATAACTCGTCCACCTTTTGGTGATGTTTCATAGAAGTCTTTCTGGCACATTCCACACATTCTCCCCCAACAATTCAGGTCTTTTTGTGGCGGGTGCTTGTATGATATGATCCAAATTAAAGGTGTATTGTGCAATAGGATGCCTACTATATTGATGTTGTTTGCCCATTGGTTGGCAACGTGGTCTAAGCTAAACTAGAAGATATTACATTTTTGCAAATGAAGCAGCTCACTCTCTGTGTTGTAAGGTGGCGCTTGAAGTTGAAGGTGCTAAGGTGAATGTGTTTCTAGTGATTAATAGTGAGTGTGCATGCACAAATTGAAGAGAAGGTGTCCCATCTGAGAGCTATACGAGTAAGCGGGGTTTGATAATCTAAATGTTGGTGGTCATCGAAAGGTAATTTGGACCAGACCAAATGTGAATGAGTTGAAATTCAATTTCGACGGGGCAAACTGTAATGGATACATAGGGCTGCCTCTAGTGTTGGTTTGTGATTGATTGAGTTACTTTTGATATGGCATGGACCTATTACATAGGTTTATAAAGCAAAACGTCCAAAAATTTTTCATTTGGGCCAAAAGGGTAATATTGACAATAGTGTAAAAATGGGCTTCTTATCAAGAAAAATGGGTTGAGGCAAAAGAACATGAATAAGTAATTGGAATGACTCATTTACCTGGTAAATTTCAACAAAAATAATATAGGTAAATAAACTTATTTGGGTAAATTTTATCTGGGAAACACTTGCCCAATAAGTAAGATTGGGGTAAACAAAAGAGGCCCATTGGAGATAGATTTACAAGCACAATCTTTACCCATGGAAATATTGGTGTACAAATAAGTCATGTCAAGTTGTCCCTAACCCAACATATGGCCCAAGGTGTAAAGATCATGGATGTTGGCAATTTTATGACCCAAAACATAATAAGTCTGGTTGTCTAATCCTCGCTTCATGTTATTTATCTTTTGTCGTTGGACTAGCCGGCCAGAGCTAGATTCTGGTATTTCTTGTTATTATCCTTGGTGCCCTCGGCAATGGGACGGTGGGTGTTCAAGTTGTTTGGCGAGAAGACAATGAACAGTACAAAAGGATAGTTTAGGAATTTAGAAAATTTTAAATAGTGGATAGACATTTTTTTTAAGTTAACTAATGGCTTGGGGCATTTGTCTAACGACTAAAGTTAAGGTGGATATTTGTTGCAAAAAATAAAAGGTACAAGGGGACTTTATCATTGACCTTATAGTACAGGGGGTCTTGTAATTTACCCTTCATTTTTTTAATAGTTTTACTAGTTGTGCGGCACATGCGAGAGGAATGAGATACAATGGAGGAAAATGGAGTAATATAGGGATTGATCATCAAAAATCGAAAAATCATAGGCAACTCATGAAATCGAGCCGAAAAATGTGATTAATCAAACCGATCCGTTTGTTTAGATTCGGTTTTTGGAATCAAAAATAAAAACTAACGATATTTGGTTTGGTTTTGGTTAATTAATATAAAAATGGCAGCTAATCAAACCAACCAGTATATATAATAGTTTTCATATATATATATATATATATATTTCATAAACATTATGCATTAAATATAAATATGGAATACCCGCAACATACACCAACTCTCTTCTACAATGACTTAGGAGCCGTTGTTGGGAGGGATTTGCACGACCTTCTTGGTGTTTGAGGGTGTTGAGCGGACGCTTAAGGGGAGGGATTTGTGTTGTGTCCAAAATGACGTTTGGCAGAAGACAAGTTTTCTAAATGGGACCTCTTTTTCATCTTATGGAGGAAGAAGATGATGAATAATGTTATATTTGAAAATGATAGTTTTCTCACTTTCAAAAGTTTTAAGTTGTACATGCATATGATGTCACGTAATACACGTAACTGATGATGGATATGAGAAAAGCCAAGCCGAATACTTGGCTATTCGAGTTCGGCTCACAGGAATAGTATCAGGCTCGAGCTCAAGCTCGGCTTGGTTCACAGCTTGCAAGTTCAAACTTGGCTCGGCTTGAACTCGACTATAAGCCTTTTTTTTAAATAAAAATTATATGTATTCTTTTATTTTTTAGACAAAAAAATTATTTAATATTATATATACAAAAATAATAATTATAAAAAATTATTTACTAATATACATGAAAAATAATAATTTTATTATATATATATATATGTATGTATGTATGTATATAATAAAAATTATTTATTTAATACTAGGCTCGTGAGCCTCACGAGCTGAGTTTTACTGGGTTTGAGCTCGGCTCGATTGGCAAACGAGCCTATATATCGGGCTCAATTTCGGCTTAAAGCTCGGTTTAAACCGAGCTGAACCGAGCTCGAATAACTTGTGAAAGGCTCGACTTGTGGTCACCCCTAAGTACATGACACTAAAATGCAATATTCTCAATAAAACATAAAGATGGCTAAGAAGAAGGAGGAAGAGGAGGAAAATGAAAGAAATGAAGATGCTTGATTCAAAATCTTTGGTCAATTGTGCATCAATTTGAAAGGAAGGGGAGAAGTGATAGAGGAAGAAAGAAGAAATAAAAAGGATAGGTGAGAAAGAATATGGGTCTACTAGACTACTAATACCAACTGCCCACGGTAT